AAAAAAAAAAAAAGAGTAATGAACCTGGTTGTTTTATGGTGTTTTATAGGTGATTACCACCTATAATGTAACAATGTATCAATATATACATTGTACTAAAGCTTCTGTTTAAATGACTCATTTGAGATGTAACTATTTAAAATCCAAATCAAACAAAAATAATTATACACATGGCCTACAGACATATGAAAAAATGCTCATCATCCTTAATCATCAGAGAAATGCAAATCAAAACTACTTTGAGATATCATCTAACTCCGGTAAGATTAGCCCACATCACAAAATCCCAAAACCAGAGATGCTGGTGTGGATGTGGAGAAAAGGGAACACTTCTACACTGCTGGTGGGAATGGAAACTAATATGTTCCTTTTGGAAAGATGTTTGGAGAACACTTAGAAAACTAAAAATAGACCTGCCATTTGATCCTATAATTCCTCTACTAGGTATATATCCAGAAGACCAAAAATCACACTATAACAAAGATAGTTGTACCAGAATGTTTATTGCAGCCCAATTCACAATTGCTAAATCATGGAAGAAGTCTTAGTGCCCATCCACCCACAAATGGATCAATAAATTGTGGTATATGTACACGGTGGAATATTATACAGCCTTAAAGAAAGATGGAGACTTTACCTCCTTCCTGTTTACATGGATAGAGCTGGAACATATTCTTCTTAGCAAAGTATCTCAAGAATGGAAGAAAAAGTATCCAATGTACTCAGCCCTACTATGAAATTAATTATAGCCCAAGAATATGGGAAAAGGGGAGAGGGAGGGGAGGGGAGAGGGAAGGATGGGTGGAGGGAGGGTGGTGGGACCACACCTATGGTTCATCTTACAAGGGTACATGTGAATCTTTCTAAATGTAGAATATAAATGTCTTAACACAATAACTAAGAAAATTCCATGAAGGTTATGTTAACCAGTTTGGTGAAAATATTTCAAATTGTATATAAAACCAGCACACTCTATCCCATGACTACATTAATGTACACAGCTATGATTTAATTTTAAAAAAAGAAAGAAAATAATTATACAATGAGTGGATAGTAACCAAGAGAAAATGTTTTTGTTGCACTATTATTCTAAATATGGACCCTATATATTCGGTATGATATACTAAACCTAACTTTTGTAATGTATCTGAGTAATAGTTTCTTCTTTTTATTGCCAGCTTCTGACAATAAAAAAATTATTCAATGGTCTGGGAAAAAAAAAAAGGAAAGTCTCGGGCAAACTCGAGCAAGGTGGTTACTCTACCCAGAAGGGCCCTCTTGTCATCATCTGGCCCCACCTACCTCTCCTGCCTTGTCTCTCTCCAGGTTCCACCAGACTTTCCTCAAAGAACCCAAAGAGCCGAGCTCTTGCCAATCCCCTTTTATATCATTCAACTAACATTTCCTAAGCACCCACGATGTGCCAAGCACTGCTCTGGTCACAGGAGATACCACACTCTCCTTTCTGCTGCTAAATCCTCATCTTTCAGGATTCAGGTCTCAGCTCTGAGGGTCCTTCATCAAGGAAGTTTCCCTATCTGCCTCCTCTGGGTCCCTTTCCTGATGGCCACTGTGTCCAGCCAGCACCTCTCTCAGCACACTCTGCACATGCACTTGCCTGCCTTCCTCACAAAGGTCTTGGTCACCTTTTTGCACCAGTGTGGAGGACAGAGTTGAGCACACAGTAGGCTCTCTGTTGTTGAATGAATCAATGCTGCCCCCCAGAAGCCTAGGGATTGCTCAAGGGCAAGATCTATGCCCATCCTATCCCTAGCTATCTTCCATGCCCTTCGTGCTCAAAATGGAGCTCAGGGCAGAACTGATGAGATCCACCTCCCATTTCAACGCTGCTGGATCCCAATGTAAGGTAGGAGGGGAATTACCCTCTGGGTAAAGCTGGGAACCTACAGCATGGCTGCCCTTGTCACGTGAGCCCCCAGGCTTCTACTTCCCACTCCACACCCTCAAGCCACTTACCTGATAATTATCCTCCCAACAATACTGATAATAACACCTTAATTAGGCAATAATGACAGCAGCTTGGCTGCCAAGCAAGGCTCAAGGACCTGAAGCTACTGTTTTAAAAATGGAAGCTGAGCTTTCCCAAGAAAGAGAGAAGCAAGGATGCCTCGTGCCCACCTTCCAAAGCTAGACAGAAATAGCATGCCTTCCGATGTGCTCTCTGCCAGCACAGATAGCCAGGAGGAAACAGAGAAAGCATGTGTGTAAGAGCGTGTGTGTGTGTGTGTGTGTGTGTGTGTGTGTGTTTCGCAGGGTGACAACTTGAGGATGGTGAAACATACTCAGGGCCTGAGTAGCAAATAATTAAAAAGTTCCCAAATAGAACAAATTTCCCATGAAGTATATTGGAATTGGGGAGGGAGGGGAACTAGTCAATTCTTTAAAACAAAATAGCATTTGAGATCTTTTCCATAAACAGTAGGGTCTCAAGGCTCTATTTCTGGTTTTTGTTTTTTGTTTTTTGTTGTTTTAAGAGAGAGAGTCTTACTATGTCACTCTTGATAAGAGTGCTGTGGCATCATAGCTCATAGCAACCTCAAACTCTTGGGTTTAAATGATTCTCTTGCCTCAGCCTTCCAAGTAGCTGGACTACAGGTGCCCGCCATAACGGCTGGGCTTAAACCTGCTAACCACGGTGTATGGGCTTAAACCAGCTAACCTCGGTGTATGTGGCTGGCATCCCACTCAGCTATGGGAGCTGAGCCTTTTTTTTTTTTCTTGAGACAGAGTCTCTCTATGTCACCCTCAATAGAGTGCTGTAGCGTCACAGCTCACAGCAACCTCAAACTCTTTCTTGGGCTTAAGCAGTTCTCTTGCCTCAGCCTCCCAAGTAGCCAAGACTACAGGCACCCACCACAATGCCCGGATATTTTTGGTTGTAGTCATCATTGTTGTTTATCAGGCTGCACTTGAACCCACCAGCTTCAGAGAGTCCTTATGCCCCCAAAGGGGTCATATGGAGCTTTATAAAATCACAAAAACAAGTTCTCACTATAAACCTTGGTGGCAGATTGTCAGTATTGGGGCTGACATCCATTATGGTGGATAATGAGGGTCGGTAGTAACCACAGCAAAGGTGTCAGAGAGCACTCCTACTTCAGGGCTAGAGACAGAGAGCTCTTGCCTCTGCACTGTGGAAGGAGACAGCGTGGGCTAAGAGCACCCCGAAGGCCCACGTGAAGGATTTCCTCTGGGGCCAAAAATTTGGCTACATGGGAGGAGGGGAAGCAAAAGAATTTGTTTTAATCCAGGAGCCCATCTCCAAACCACCTAAGAAAATAACAAGTTGGGTATCCAGCCAGAGCAGGTACGTGTTCCATGAGTCACTCAGGTGGACGGACCTGGGAGAGGCTGGGCTGAGATCAGGACAGAAGACTGGCCCTTGCCTGTGGGAGGGAGACCTACAGGCCTCTGTGCCCTGAGCTGGAGCCCTGGACTCTCGTTGCACTGGACTCTGATTTCCCAACCCAGATCAGTGTTTCTGGAATTCCAAGTCTGAGTGTCAGATGCTCTGAATGGCCACTGCAGAGCCCACAGCCCTGGACGCTGACCCAGAAGCTGCCCCAGGTCCTCTGAGGGTGCTGCCCTCTCTGGGAGAGACTTTGCCCCATGAGTTGAGGCCAGACTCAGTGGAACCAAAAGCTGAGACTGGGCTTGATGCCACAGCTGTAGGGGGACAGACAGGGAGGCTTGGGGCAGCTCTGCGCATACCAGCACCCCACTCCCTCCTGAACACCCGTTCACACAGCATTGAGGGGTGTCTCTCTGAACAACAGACATCCGTGCCAGGGCTTCCACACCACCCATCCATCTGGGCCATCTCCCACTCCATACTGAGAGAGTTCCAAGGTTAGAGTCTCTGCTTCCTCCACCTGGAGACACGGGGGAGGCCCTGCATGCCTGCTGAAGGGACTTGGTGGCTGTGCTGCTCTAATCCCCAGGCCACAGAGCCAGTGCCTACAGAGCGAGGTCAGGGCCCTGGGATCCCAGCCTCCTAGCTGAAGGCCCCATTCTCTTACTTGCAGGAGAAAGAGAAGGGCAGCTCCCGACGGACCAGCCGAGGAAACCACTCACAGTGGTGTACACTGCTGGCAACTTCTCCAGGTAATCTATAGGCGTAGAAACAGAATAATCAATAAATCCTCTGACAGGGGCTCAGAGGAGACCCATGTCCAGAGGGAAGGCTGCCCAGGCCTGTTCTGTAATTCACAATTCAGTCTCACTCTGTGGAGTGAGTGTTACTCCCACATGGAGCACCACAGGCAGCCTTCCCTCGCTGACCCTGCTCAGCTGCCCCACCCACAGCCACCTCATCACCACCACTGCTCCTGGGCTCACAGAACCACTTGTGC